TAAGATTTAGATTTGTTGTTGAATTTTAAGTGACGATAACAATGAGCAAAATTATTCGATACTATCTTAGTGCATTGTTATAATTGTCAATCATGCATGAAAATGTCGATATATTAAGACCAGCTTAGGTTTTAAATATTTATTGCTTATGTTTTAATAATTATTGAATTAGCACATAAATAATACATAAATGCAGGGCTCTTACAAATTTTTAAATTAAAAATAATGTTTCTAAAAAATGTATCGAGCTGACCAATGCCGTTGCGAGTTTACGCCGTGATCTTCGGACCGAGAAAATTGTTTTCGGTCAAACGAAACATTTATAAGCCATAAAAAGCATGCCGGGTCGAACGATCTATTAAATTTTTATGAGCTTTTTGTCGGAAAACCTCACAGCGCGCGTTCGAGCAGCGCGCTGAGAACTACTACCGTTAGCTCTAAATTTCCAGTCGTGCTTGCATATAAAAGAATGTTATATAAAAATTTGATACACGTTGAAGTCATATAAAGTTAATCCTTATCTGATTGAAATAAAAGAGTTATATTACAATTTCTCAATATCATTTTCCACAGCGATGAAATATTCTGATAGCGCGACACAACGATCGGATATAAGGTATCAAACTATTGAATTAAAAAGATATGCAATTTCAACAATATTATTCAAAACCTCATTACGTAAAACTAGATTCTCATGCATGATTTATTATTACAAATTTATAACGTCACGATTATAAGTTCTTATCGATCGAAGATTCTAAAACGATTTTATTAGCTTTATCGTAATAAATGGCAACAATATTAAATTATATTTTTTAAAAATATAAAATAATATATTTTTTTAAGAGAATTAAGTTATATTTTCACAAATGTAATACGTGATTATATCTGCATATAATTCTAATTAATTAGTGAAAAATTTGTATTCGCAGAAGAAATGATTTTGCATATCAATTCTTTAAGTACACTTGTAACCAAAAATGTGGCACTATGCTCTGTAAAAGTGGATCTATTTCGAGAACGCTATTTAAGCGTCAGAGAAACGTGAAGGTGAAGACACAAGAGGTGAAGGACGAGAGATTTCGAAGCGCAAGGAGGGAAAAGAGAGAGAGAGTGAATGCGCGTCCAACTCTGCCTGTAATGAACTTGTGAATATTTAGTGGGGTAATTGCCTTTCGTGGCGAGTCTCGCTTGTGTCTACCGCTGTAAGAGGTGTCCGCCAAATCCGGAAGTAAAACCAATATCAGTCGACCACCTGTGCTCTTAACTCGCACTTCGTCATATATACGTTACGTGTGCGCATCAGCTTCACATATATCGATAATTTGATTTCCTCGGGGACATCGCAGGCCGATTGCCAGCCGTTCGGCCGACTACTCTATTCTACTATCCTATTTCATAATATGTCAAACAAAATGATATAACTTTACTTCTATAAGATTTTAATCACATTTGAAGAGAAGCATGCTATCAAATTCTTATAATCTCGAATGTATATATATACGCTTATTTTAAAAGCTTTTAGTACGAGAATATTCGATATTTTTTTATATCTCGATATATCGAAAACATTTCACAATCAAATCTAAAAAAATACTTGTGAAGAAACGTGCTAGGAGTTATAACGTAAAAAAAATATATTTTGCAATCTCCGTAAAATTGTGTTTTTTAGAAAGTAATATTTTACTTTGCTAAACAATTTTTTAAAGAATTATTTTTTGACAAAAATAAACATATCTAGAATTTCTATTTACAAAAACATACAATACGAAACTATTATTTTTTTTTTTAATTTTGCGTAAACAGTAAGAAATTGTCAACAAATTAGAAAAAAATTTTAATATTTCTTATTTTTGTGTACAATCACATGTTACATATATGCATAATTTAAAAAAGCAAATTAGTTTAAGTGTAATGCATTAAAATATAATTTCTGTAAATATAAAGAAAATAATTTTAAAAATTTCTATATTTTTCCAAGTGGCATTTTATCTAGGTATATGCAATGTGTTATTGTCGCATGTATTGTCTTCTCACATTGCTATCAGTATAAAATATTCTAAGAACTAATCACTTCATATTATATGCCAAATTATATCTGATATACATATAAAAGAAAATCTGATTTATATTATTATTGTTAGTAAAAAATAAGTATTTCGTTGCGATATTGTTAACTGTAAGTGCCAATAAAATTGTGAGTTAAAATTTTTATTTTTTTACTGTTTAATCTCATAATTTTTATTTAATTATTTTTATGACGCAAGTAGAGAGAAGAAAAAAAAGAGAGAGAAAGGGAGAGGAGAAAGAGAGAGACATGCTTAAAAGAGAAACACAATTTGATGTTAGTGATTTAAAACTATTCAATAAAGAATACTATAGCAACATAACAAATGTACAAGTCCAAGGAAACACGCAACAAAATTGTAATCTGTTGACGGGCAAAGCCTAAGCTTACTGCACGTCTCGTGTAAGGAAAGCCTTCGTGTTCTTTGCACGCCATCTGAACGTTTTATAATCACTATACTTCTCTTCTTCCTTCGTTTTATCCTTCCTCACTTTTATATTCTCTATCTTCCTTAGTTAGAAAAATGTCTAGCTATTAATTTATCCTCACCTCCTGCCGCGCATATAACATCTTGACAGAATGTACCACCTGGTAAAACAAGTTGCATAACTTAAACGTTGGATTATGTATTCCAAATTTCCTTTATTTTTCGAACAACAGAAAAGAATAGCGCAAATGAGTAAAGATTAAATCCAGCTTATATTAAAATATAAACTCTTAATTATGAACAACATTCACATTTTATGCCAAGAATAAGTGTAATTTTTTTATTAGGATATAAATTGTTATTACAGTACTTTTTTTCATCACGTATAATCATCAGAATACTATTGTGTATTTTATTTTCATTTATTACTAGAATATGGAAGAAAAATGGAAGAAGAGTTTTAATTATAACACACATGATAATATTATTTTCGAATTAGACCTGCAGTTATGCATTTAGACGAATCAAAAATAATATGTCCAGACGTCTATATTCGTCGAGTCGATTAAAGACTAGCATGTCTCGGCAATTATAGGTTCTCTCTCGCTTCGGTGAAACTGTCGAAACGTACCCCGGATCGATCATCGGTACATATCTATCTCGCGGAACATCTTATGACAACGACGGCAACCAATCGATTTCCAATTTGATACAGAATAGAATCCATTAATAGCGCCCTTGTCGACGGCGCTTCCCACCGACCGGATACATTTCGGCGAGTGTCAAAGTGGGAAACGACAGAAGTAAAGCGAGAAGCCGGCGCGGAAGTAAAACGGAAGAAAAAGGTATTGTTGGCGACAAAGAGAGAGAGAGAGAGAGAGGGACTGCAAGAAGGAAAGAAACGAGGGATGAAAGGGAACATACGAGATGCGCGTAAGCGAGCCGGCTGGTAGCTGACTCGTACCGATAAGAAGTCTCGATCTGTTCACTTCCGCAGTTCTCTCTTCGTTCGTTCCCTTCCCTTTCACGCGCCTCTTTCTCTCGTGCTCCTTTTTTTGAAAGGAGAATACGACATTAACTGACGGACGGAGAGCGACGTCAACGCGACGCCGCGATCTAGCGCGACGACGACGACGACGTAGACGACAAACTCCATTGGAGCATTGAGCTCAAAACGAAATAGGGAATTTAAGTGTCACCGTTTCTGTGATGAGGTCTTTCCTTTGCGAATACTATCCTACCTTGTGCGCTCACCCTTTCTATTTATCCCTTCTCGCTTTCGTTCTTCTTTCGGTTTGTCATTTTCCTATTCCACGTGCGATTCCAATAACCCGAGTATTCAGGATTCTGTAATACGTTCGTGTTTAATATCGATATTCTACTAATATATAAATTTGTATTAAAAATCTTAAATATATATATATCAATATATGTCAAATGTATGTATATTTAAATACGTTTGCATTATTAATATTCCCTTGAAAATGGTAATAAAATATAAAAATATATAAAAGACTGCGAATATATGTATGTGCAGAAAAGAATATGTTATGCAAATCTAATACAGAGACATGTGTGGTTCTATGGATATGTATATGTGCATGCAAAGAAATATTTTTAATGGTTTTTAATCCGATTTAAAATACTTATTTTAAATGACAGTTGGTGCGCGACAGACTTTCTACATACGGCAATTCCGGAAAAGTGCGAACAATTAAGTAGTAAATTCCACATGCGCGCACGGCCTACCCTTACCCTCATTCTCATCCATATGCATGCAATTACTATTCCAAGTTTATTCGCTACCGACCGTTACATCTCTCGTAAAACGCACTTGCACACCAGTGGCAGTTTGACAATACAAACAGTCCGTTAAATTGTTGCTGTTAAATTGTGTCAAAGTGTTCGCACAATGGGAAGATCTCCGCCATCACTTAATACGAGATATATATTTCCATGCCAAACACGCCTTCAGTTTCGAAATGTGCCAAAATAGTTTCTCTGTTATGCCCATAAAGGCAAATTAACGCATACAAGTTTATGCATATTCAACACACTTTTCAAATGTAGAAATGTTATATCCTATATAAGAAAATTCTTCATATTCAAACTATAAAATTAACATATGATTATTGCGATAAGTCATCAACATTTAAACGTTGTCTATTAAATATAAAAAAATAATTACTATTCTAGAATAAATGTTCTATATTTTTAGTAATAAAATAATTATCAATTTTAATTAATATATAATATTTTAATTATTATATAATATAAGATTTTATTATATATATATCTCTTTTTTCTTAATCAAACATTATCGGTATCACATATCAGTTAAAATGATAAGGTATTTTAAATTAGTATTAGATAAAGTATTATAAATAAAAATTTACTAATTAGAGTATAATGGAAACTAAAAATGTGATTTTAAATAAAGAACAACTTTATTCATTAAAATATACATATACATATATAAATTATAAATAAACATATAATCGCGCACAATCGCATTATTTATGTAGATTGATTAATTAGATGTGCATCCAGCGTGCCATGGAAAATCGCAAACTAGTTCTACGGGGTTGAAGTGCAAACCGTCAGGACACTCCATCACGACCGCTCGTCCATAGTCACAGACGAAGTAATGTTTGCAGTTTGTGGGGTGAGGGATGAGAATAGCTTCCTCTCCATCTTTTGGCCCTCTATTTGGACATTCGACTTCTTCGGCCTGGGCGTAAAAGACAGACAACAAGCACACCAGAAGTGCAAGGAAAAGTATGGCTAAAATATATCAAACAAAATATTAATTGATTTTTCGAAGTGCAACAGCAAAATAATAATTGATTAAACAGATAACACATACAATTTTAATTCAACAGAAAATATATTAAATTATTTTCTCAATAATTATAGAAAATCATGCTCTCATCATATACCCGTTATTATGATGTATTTTACAATAATAAGCAATATTGATTCTACAATCATGAAATAAAATTTAATTGTGGACAATCAACTTAATTAGACTTACCTTTCATTTTGCTATTTAGTTTCTTCAAAAGAAATTTCACTTTCTTTACTTTGATGCGAATTACATCAAATTGGGTGCTCCATTGTCTAGAGTGTCTTTATATACCCGCGACCAATGGGTCCTTTTTATCAATCTATTTAGATCATTATATACCGACCCAGTCCTCTTGCGATATTCTTCTTATCAGTTGCGTAATATCATGATAAGCCTGTGATTTGTAGAATATTTCACATATTAATGTTAATAATCATAAACGAAGACAGTTTTGTCGATATTCACTGGATTGTTACACATCATATTTAACCCAGATTTTAAGAAGACAAGGCTCAAATAAAGCGAATAAATGCAAAAAGAAGGGATTTATCAAAAGTGAAACGAAATGAACGAAATGTAAGATGAGCGCGAGTGAGCTAGGGATAGTGAGAGGAAGTGAGAGAGGAGAAGGATGCTAGCTGACACTCGGACAATGCTGGCGTGGTGCTGTCGCGTTCGGTTCCTGGTTATGGCGGGTGCACAATGCCTATTGTCGAGCAACCTACCATACAAACGTGTGTGCTGACGCTTTCACACAACGGCTACCTCCACCTCTGTCTCGTTCGCTTCGCTCTCTCTCTCTCTTCATCGCTGTACTTTCGTTTCTGTCGAAGACGAGTATAGAATCTTTCTCTTTCTGGTAACGCCGTCGTTTTCTCATAAACTCGCGGCTTTCGGCAAGACCAATAAGATACCCCATGTGAAGAACAATATTGATTTTTTTTTAAATGACACTGTAGAAATGGCACGAAATAAATTCAGGAGACGGCGGAAAAGTGCGAAGGTAGGAAAATTGTATTTGATCGGCATAACTTTATATTGATTTATCTTGTCTAAAAGAATTGTATATAAATTATAAATTTAAATATTAAATAATAATTTGTTATTAGAAAAATTATTTTAAGATAAAGTAATATTTACGGTAAAATAATACTACGCAGAAATATTTATAGATAAAGAAATAAAGAGTTAAGCCAAAGTGTTTTTTATAAGTATGTATTTATAACTTCGGAATGTTATCGTTATCTCAAGAGTTAATATATCAATTTGTTGTGCACTAGAAAATATAATCACATTATCAATATTTTTATTACAACGCACTATTTGCTTTATTAATCGTATTTTATAGAGCGATTTCTATCTGCCAAATTTAAAATTTCATAAAATCTATTCTAAGATTGTTGTAACCCAGTTTTTATATGTTATCGACGTTAAGCTCTCGTGCTTTACATGATACAATATATTGCTATCATAATACGAAAATATTAATTTAAATTGAACATTGTATTTCAGAAAGGCAACTTTTGGATTTAATTATAATAATATAAATTTAATTTAAATTTTTTCCATATTATCTGTAAAAATAAAGAAAAAGAAATATTTTCTTACAAGAGGAAAAGACGAATCCGTTCCAGCACTTCATCAAGAGATCCATAATTTGAATTCAATCATTTGCAAATCACGATCTTATTCATGTCTTATTTCCGATTGTTTGCAACTGCGCGGAAATTGGGTTCACTTTAGAAAATGAGACATTTCAATCGACACAGAGACAATTGTTTGAAAATGATTGTACATTTACGAACGGAAAAACGTTTTTTTCCTTAGAACGTGTTAAAATTGTGAACAGCTACCGTTTGTAAAGACAATTTGACATATGAAAAGATATTGTTTAATTTTTTAATTTTACGTTAGTTTATTATTATTAAAACAATAATTATTGCAAACGATCTAATAAAGTCAAACAGGTGTAATAATATCGATACAAACTTAATATTAAAAAAATTGCAATATATATTTAGAATGATTATATGTATGTGCGTGCTAATTAGAAAATTTAAAATACTGTAAAATGTAAAAATATTAATATTTCTATTTTCTGTCGTTTTGGCCACCTAAAAAAAAAGAGAGAGAACCCGGTCTCTCATACTTACCATATTGGCATACACGCCGCCTGCGTTTTACGGCCATATTCAGCGATTTTGCATATCGAGGCCAGGCATGTGTATGTGCGTACATTATAGGGCAGGGAAAAAAGAATGAAGAGGAACGAGAAGGGAGAACCCATCGTCGTCCTTTCTTCTCTAGCGCCATCAGAACTGCTGCAAGCCCATTCACCTTTTCCACACCGATTCACATATATACGGCAATCGCAGACCTTCTTGAGAGCTCAATTTATCGCGGAACGGCCTCCGCTGGTACAAAGCGTGCCGGTGTGTGTGCGGGACATATATATACTCCCTCCTTCGGAACAAATTGTCATAATTGAATAACCAAAGAGATAAGCGAGCTATGCTTTGATCGTAAGCGCACTCGCGTAACTTTGGCAATGGCCTCGATACGGGTCGATCCATTTAACTCTGAAGTGCCTCGAGTCCACTTGGTATTTTAGTTCTAAACGCCCTTTCTTGTTTCGTGTGCCTACACGCATTCGTTTTTACGATTGAATCAGTTAAATCGATCCGCCTGTTAAATTCTACGCTTCATATACCCTTTATGTCTGCATGAGAGAAATTTATGAAAACTCGGAGAATTTGGAAAGTGATTATAATTATACACCAGATTTTTTACTAATATCCAAATGTATTATCGATCGCATATAGACATTTAAATTAAAAGTAATAAAATAGTTATATTAAAGTGTATCTATTAATAATTATGCATACAAAGTAAAAGACATTAATTTGAAAATTTATCTAACAAAATTTAAAATCAATGCAGATTATTGCAATTTTTTAACAGTATTATTGTAGGGATCAAACTGTCGTATAATTGTGCGATTTATTCTGATGATCAGACGATCGGAAAGAAAAGACGGTACAAAAGAAACACTTGATGACGCTGATGGAAAAGGTTGATACGAAATAAACGAGATCGAATGGAAGCGGAGGATGCGGATATCGAGGATAGCTTTAACGGTCTTTTGTTTAGCTGACTCCGTCGTTTACCGGCATGCCGGTAATTGCCACAATGCGGGGTGAAAAGCCAGAAAAAGTACAGCGAGTTGAAAATCAGAGAAAACAGCTAATCGAATGACAAGCTGATCGCTAATTTACTCTTGAGACTTTTGTACATATATATATTTGTTGCATATGTGCTCAGAGAAATGTTGCGTATTGTTTCGTAAACAAAACATCATATACTTGTGCATTTTTAATTTTATTTAAAATTAGTACACACATATATATATATATATATATAAATGTATATATAAAAAAATTTTTATTATTTTACATTTATCATGAAAATTTTTAACGTAATATATAAAATAATTTTATCAAAGGCTTTCTATATTTTTCTCTCTTTTTCTTTTGATTTTATTTCAACAAACAGGATACATCTCAATGTTTCTTTTATTACAGCAATCAGGAGCAATTAAGATTGATCAACGGAAGCTCCGAATTGGAGATATGTACATATCGACATTCGCATTAGACAACCAGTTAGAAACTTGTTGCTGTGATTTATAATCATGGGGCAGGCAAATTGGAGAGCAGTCGGGAATATGTCATAGATTTGTGCCTATGAGAAGTGGTTGCGGACACAATTGCTTCTGGCGCGAGGAATGTAACATGTGGTCACGCGATACCGTTTCGATTGCGCTTATTACGGATTTATTACATACGTATTCCCCATCGTTCTCATTTCCACTGTACAAAGAGCAAAATTATTAAACTTGACTTATGTAGTGTACAAAAAAATACCATTTATATAAAATAACATGTATATATTTTATACAATAACATAAGTTGTATTCTTCTCAAAATATTGTTATAACTTACATTTCTTTAAGAAAAATTGCAAAGTTTGTTTACATGAACATGAGATAAATTCTTATAAAATGTATATATTTATGAAACTCTACAATCAAATCCCTAATTTTTACTACGATTATTACAATTGCAATATATAAACAATTATTTTGATTCTTAATATTTGGAAGAAGATTCTTTTTAATTCTGAAAACAATCAAGTAACATTAAATTTTGTATCAGATCTCTCATTCTTTGAATAATTTTTGTTTTCTAGATCAAAAATCAAAGAGACGATGAAAAAGAGTATGGATATTTGATTCAGTAAAAGATGAAGTTTCTATGGTCATCTGATATTTATGAAGAAGCGTAAGTTATGAAAACCGTATCCAGTGAGTTGCGGACCCTACTTTGTATTAGTATAGTATAATAAAACATTTGCAATTTAAATTGGAGAAAGAAATAACTCGTGTATAATTTTTCTACTAGTATACAGAATAAATAAAAAGTAAGAAGTAATGATAAAATAGATATGAATTTATCATTGCTTAATTCATAATGCTTTCATTATAACTTCAAATTTTCACTGCAATAGATATAAACATAATTTTACATACATAAAAATGCTATAAACTATACAATAATCTAAATTTATACATTATAAGTAAAGTTATCATTTTTATTATATATAGAGTGTATTTTTGAATACATACTAGCTTTGTTTTGACGACATACGCTGCAAATTAATGCAAATGAAATATCTCTTGTCTATAGATTTTTTATTTCAAGCAAACTAAATATTAAAAGAAAAATTAATATAACAATGAACACTTTTAAGTATCTAGCTATGATTAAGTTTTTGAATAATTAAAAATGTCACTGGCACAGAGCTCTTCGCTTTTACGATCTCAAGCAGAGGAGGTTCCTCTTGAAATTTGCATAACTGCTTCAACGATAGGAGCTTGCTTGAAATATGACATTTTATTATTTTCGAGGTACTTCACTTCCGGTTAAATGTAGAGAGCGACTAAAAGGTGAGTGCAAGAGGATCGAAAAACCCATAAGAAGATAATTTTATTTAGAAGTCTTATGGAGAGACTGCCCAAACACAACTCTTTTTTTTTAAACCTATATAATTCTTTTTAAAATATATTATTTTCAAAATATACATATAATTTTACAATATTTTTACATTATTTACGATTTAAGACATAAAACAATGGTATGTATCTCGAGGTTTATTCGGTTTTGTGTTAAGAGTATTATGCACGAAAAATGTACGATAGAAATTGGGAACAATAGTTGCCAATATGCGAGATTGGCTGACCAAGGTAGAAGATA